GCAAACACGTAAAGTTTGATGTAGCTCCGCAACCAGAGCAGCTGGCGTGCTGAAACTTTCTGAGCGTACTCAAGGACATGTTTGAGCAACCGCGGGCGAAGAAAGCATTCACGTTGCCACTCTTGTACGAACACGTGAAGTTTTGCGTAACTCCGCAACCGATGCGTTCAGAGCGCTGAATTTTTTGGGCATGGATTGGAAGTCATTGTAATAATTTCTAACAATCGTGGTGGACAGTTCCAATTCATTTAGCTAGAAGCATCTGCCGGGGAGGAACGTGCCACTGGTGAAAAAACCTGCGGGGGAACTTTGCAACAAAAAAGCATCTTCGTATCGGCAGCCGGTACGCTTTCGACTAAATTTAGTTTTTCGTGAATGATAGCATGTGAAAGCCTTTCGTTCAAAAATAGAAAAGGTTTTGTAGAACAAACCTTAGCGGTTCTTCGAAAAAGAAAAACAACGAAATAAAAGCTACACGTTTTTAACGGTGCAATCAGAAAAGGGATGTGAACGAAATGAGGATAAACAGCTTAATTCTAAATTCAATTTCGGAACTCCTTTTTCACCATAGGCCTCCCGTATCTATCTGCATTTTGCAACCAACAGAGCCAAACGAGCTTAGGCGCTCATTTCCATTGTTTGATCAGATGAACTCATTTGATGGGCTTACGAAGTGAAACTTGGCAAATGACTGCGGCTGAATCAGACACTTTTTTTTGCTTGTTCAAGTTACTAAATTCATTATATGTCTGAGTTAATGGTATTATAGTCCCTGTTCCAAAATATTGCGACTGTGTGCAACACGATCGGATTGTTCCAAAATTGACTTTAACTTCGACATAGAACCAAAATTTGGCGTTTTAGGTGCCGTTCACCTCACGTCTTCCTCTTTCGATTCCTGTTAGCTACTGCTTTACTGCGATCACCACACCTTACATTACTATTGATAGCCTACAGACCTAAATTAAAATTGCAGTTCTGCATTGGTGCTACATAAACCAGCTGATTGCTCTGGGTACAGATGATCGAAACTATTGTAGTGCATAAAATGAAACGGAAAAGCAAATACTGGATTATTAACGCATTTAGGGAAGGCACTAAAGAAGGCTTATTCTAACTGCCGATTATTCCGTTTGATTTCACAAAGACAAACTGAGCAGTTCAGCCCTTCTGTTCTCTTTTTTACGAGATTAAATATCCATATTTCGGAACGCAGCAATGCTTCTTCCAGTGCAGGCTTGTCTCCTTTTTTACTCCATCCTAACTACCTTAGCCCATGACGTACTCCTCGGATTTTGAGCTCTACCTAATTTAATGAAGGACAACTCCTAAGATTAAATATTTCCATTTTCTTGCAACAAATAGTTCTTGACTGCCTTTGTAACCGCATTTTACTAAGTACCTTCGCCTTATCTCCGTCTCGTCAAATGTCAGTTTGCGTTTAAACTAGCCCTCTCCTGATTTGCAAGATGAATCCATTTCAGCGATGTGGGGAAATACATGATTTTGCACTGGTCTACTGATGAAGAGTGGTACCTTATCTTTTTGAAGCTGGTCAATTGTCGCTGTGAGTTCGATAACTTCGTGCTGTAGACGTTGTCGTTCGCGATCAATCCTGCATAAAAACAACAACAACAGTAGCTATTTATGGTTAGCAATCCTTCATTTTATAGAGCGTATGCACTTTTCCAGTGCGCGATCAAGGGGCCTGGCATAGCTACGCTCGGCATGTGTAAGCACCCTAGGCAGCGCCAATACGGGAAAACCCTGTACTGATAGTCCGAGTGATCTTGGCATTCTTGGCATGTGCCTTTCCACTAACAATGTCCTGATGTTATTAAGCTCGCACACACATACACACACGCACACGCTCACACCGCACATAGACACACACACACACACACGCGCACACACATACATACACACACTATAGTAAGGGGTGCCACGCTAACATGGCTGTTTGTTAAAAAAATATAGTTATAACTAAGTTTAAGAATGACTGTGTGCAGGTGCGAACTTTGAGTTCTTCTTCTGAAGTTGCTCGATTTGTTCTGTGTAGTCGAGGCACGCATCCTGGTGCTTCTTACGCAGAACATTCATTGCATCTTCACTTTCCAGCTGCGATTCTTCCAACAACTTGCGCAGTTTTTGCAGTTCTGCCTCACGTTTACGATTTGATTCAATCTGTAAAAAAGTCATTTTTAGACCAACGACAATCTAGACTATCATTATGCTTGGATATCTTGGTCGGAGTAGGCAGATAAGTGAACAATTATGTGAATAGGGAAGAAGCTGAGCAGGCATATAAAAAACGAAGCGCCCAAACTACTAATTTGTAAAGGAGGAAATAAAGAAACTAGCAGAAAGCAGGCTGATTACTGCTATTGGCAGAATTTATCAGATAGATCGCGCTGGTCCAATGACCTGAGCGAGGAGTAAAGTGGATACATGGGTGTTCATTACTAGAATCTAGTAATTTTCTTTTTTGTACTTTTCTATGTATTTTACGCTGCAACAGCGATACAGCATGTCTGTCTGCTTTTGTGTGCATGTATGTCCGGATATCCAGTCTTGTTTTTATGTGTTTCTGCTGCCACGGTTTTTCCAGAAGTTTTTAACTCGAGAACCAAAGAAACTAGAAAACCGAAATTTTAGAACAACGTTTTCTACCAGCACAAGGCCGTTCAAACGTATTAGTCTTACGTACTGATACGTTTTGGCTCGGAATTTACTAACTCGGGAACTAGAGAGCTAGGAAGTTGGAATTGCGTGACAGTTTCATCTCGAAAGTTAGTAACTTGGAGAACAAAAAAAGCTGGGAGATTTTAGAATAATGTCTTCTACCGACATGCAACACTACAAATTTAAATTCAGCCTTTACGTGCGCAGTCTTACGTACTGATGCGTTTTGGCTCGGAATTTATTGACTCGAGAACCAGACAGCTAGGAAGCTCGAATTTTAGGTGAATATTTCCTACTCATATACGAGATCGATCAGTTTAAAATTCAGCCTTCACTTACGTCTAGATCTTACGTAGGGCCACTTGAAAGTTCCGACGCAAAAATTGTTTATTCAGAGACCGTAAATGTTAGGAAGCTGAAATTTTATGAAAGTATTCAATACTTACGTAAAGCCCGAAGATTTCAAATGAAGCTCTCACGTGTGTCTAGATCACACGTACGGCACATGAGATTTTGGCCGGAAAATCACCAATTAGGGACCAGCAAAATTGAAGTTAAAATTTAGGGGCGGTGTTACTTACTCATATGTGTCGTCAAGAACTTTAGATTCAATTCGTAGATCCACCCCGGATGCATGCAATTTAGCGGGAAATTTCGCAATTTTGGAACCAGATAAGGCAAGAAGCCGAAATGCCAAGAGGATGTTTCCTGCCTATGTGCGACTTCGGAAATTTTATATTCAGATTCCACACACGACTAGATCTCAGGTGCAGAAGAGTGTAAGGTTTAGCCAAAAAAAAAA